TATTCCGTTACTTCCCAACACTGCTCACAAGTGAGTGGCTGCATATGTCAAGAACTGGGTGTTGGTGTGCGGCGTGTACCCGAAAGCAGACTCATTACATGTGTAAACTATTTAGAAGGTTTTATTTTAAAAAAAGGCAAACTCAAACTAGAACATCCCATATGGAAAAGATATATATAAATTGTGTGTCTGTCTAGTATGAAACTTGTATGAAAAGCATACAAGAGTGAAAACAGATATAAGATCCCTTGAAAAATCATATAAATGAAACTTGTATGTTTTGGATACTTACTAAAACAATATATGAAAGTAATGAGAAAGTGGCCATTTTCATAAGTAAATCATATAAGCCTTATATGATTCACTATATGAAGTAGGTCACATCTTATGCAAGTTTTTACTATTTCTTTTCCATATGGGATGGCTTGAAACTGAAAACATAAACAGGAGACCCGGAGCCAAGGAAGGTCAAGGATGGAGAAACGTTCGAACATGGGGGACACAAGGAGAGCGATGGAACGGGAAACTCTGTAACAGAGGAAGACAAGCAGGAAGACGAGAGAATGGCTAGAAGTGAGTAGGTATTGCAGTGGGGTGTGCTTACTTGTGGATGAAGACCAATTAGCCTTGGAGGGCGTGGCCGTGGGAGTGTCTTGTAGGGGGTCAGCATGGTGAGAGGAGATGGTCCAGTTCTAGGAAGTCCAGACAGCAAATCCAAGAGAGTCACGACAGGCAGGAGGGGAGGCAAGTGAGCGCAGTGAGTATGAAACCTTCCATTTGTAGTTGACTGTAGTAGTTGAACTGAACAGGACCAGCGCTGAAGAGTAGCACAACAGGGGGTGAATCTGATGGAACTGCAAACCGGGAGGCAATGTTAAACATGGGAAAGACAAGCATGAAGCTTAACACAAGGAGGCAGAGTTACCACCAATGGTAGCAGGACAAACTGGTGGAGAGTGGCAGGTGGTGCTGGTTTAAAAACCCTCCTGCTTATTTCCCTGGAATGAGCAGTATGTGAGGTGCTAGAAACTCCATCCCAGAGGATGGAAATCTGGAACTCCTCTCACAAACAGGAAACCACCTAGACACTCTAACGGCACAAGATTTTTGGATGACCCATCTGTGGATCCCAGTGCTAAGGATGTGGAATCCATTAGAACTCCAATTGCCTGACCAGAAAGCACTAAAATGCTGTGTAGCACTGATGACAACTGTACTCAGATGATCATTTGTTATGGGCTTGTTACCATAAGCAACCATTTGTATTACACACATTAATATAATATTGATTTTGTATGCCTACAAAAGAAAAGCAGTATTCATGCTTGACTTGTCAGTGCAAGGACATTCACACTGTGAATGAGTTTCAAAGAACTGTAAACAATACACAGTCTCTATGAGAGTTAACAAAAATACAACTCACCTTCCTCTCTCCACTGTACTGTATTTAACCCTCCACTCCACACACATAACACACACACACACACACACACACACACTATAGAGTATATTATGTTCAGCTGTCAAGGCAATTATTTGTGATTAATCATTTGATTGATGTGGCAAACATGTTTCTGCTTACGACCAAATAATGGATCAATCAGGGACAGGAGAGAGATCATTTAGAAACACAGGAGAAGCCATAAATTATCTGTGATTGCCTTACACATGATTAATGTTCTAGTCTACATCGCCCTAATGTGATTCATCAGTGTTTTATATGTAATTGGTGTATATGGAGAGGGATAAATTCCATAGGTGAAGCTGGAAATAAAACATCCCAAAAGTGATTGCATGTGGGGTTGTTGTATGAAGAGTGTGTCTTTAATAGCAGCTTTGAATTTAATAAGCTTGTCATGCATATAGACAACATATACTTGTATGTGTTACCTGTGGAAGTTACAGTATCTAGTTAAATTAAAAATCTTTAGGCACTTACTGTACTGTTACTACCAATTAGTCAGAAAAACACATTTTTCCAGTTTTACAAGCACAAAATAGTATTATTGCACCAACAAGGTGATATTCACAAGGCTATTAGCTGAACAAGGCTTTACAGCTAAAAACTTGGTGTGGAGTTTGTCTAGACATGGTGTGCAATATGTCCTTAAAAATCTGTGTAAACTGGACAAGTGGAAGACACAGGAAGAACTGGTAGGCCTAAAACAGCCATCCATACTAAATGAAAAGAATCTTAATGTCATGCCCTTAAGAAATAGGGAACAATCCAGCAATGACCTAACACAGGATCTGAGAGATTGATCTGGCCATCTTATTTAATGGTTTTTTATTTATTTTTACTACTTTCTACATTATCGATACATACTGAAGACATCAAATATGGAAGGAAGATATAGGGAATTATGTAGCAAAGAAAAAAACGGATAAATAACTCCAAATATGTCTTATATTTTAGATTCCTCCAAGTTGCCACCCTTTCCTTTCTTGGTAGCACTGCAAACCCTTGGTTCATGATGTAGTCACCTGAAATGGTTTACACTTCACAGGTGTGCCATATCAGGGTTCATTTGTGGAATTCTTAATGGGGATGGGGCCATCAGTTATGTTGTGCAGAAGTCAGGTTGGTACATAGCTGACAACCTTATTTGACAACTGTTAGAATTCATATTATGGCAAGAACCAGTCAGCTAAGTAAGGAGAAACTACAGTCCATAATTACTGAAACTGAATGTCACTCAGTCCAGAAAATTGCTACAACTTTGAATGTAATTTGAGTGCAGCACTAAAAATCATCGAGCGCTACGACGAAACCAGCTCACATGAGGACCACCCCAGGAAAGGAAGACCAAGAGTCACCTCTGCTGCTGAGGATAAATTCATCCGAGTCGCCAGCCTCAGAAATCACAAGTTAACAGCACCTCAGATTAGAGCCCAGATAAATGCCAGAGTTCCAGCAGCAGACACATCTCTACATCAACTGTTCAGTGGAGATTGCACAAATCAGGCCTATATGGTCAAATAGCTGCTATGAAATCACTACTAAAGAAACAGAACAAGCAGAAGAGATTTATTTGGGACAAGAATCACAAGGAATGGACATTAGACCAGTGGAAATCTGTGCATTGGTCTGATGGGTCCACGTTTGAGATCTTTGGTTCCACCCGTCGTGTCTTTGTGTGACACAGAAAGGATGAATGGATGCATGATTCCCACCATGAAACATGGAGGATGGAGCATGTGATGGTGTGAGGATGTTTTGCTTATGATTGTGTGTGGGTGCTTTGCTGGTGACGCTGTTGGGGATTTATTCGAAACTGAAGGCACACTGAACCAGCATCCTCCAGCGACATGCCATCTCATCTGGTTTGCATTTATTTTTCAACAGGATACTGCTCCCAAACAAACTTCCAGGCTGTGTTGGGGCTATTTGACCAAGAAGGAGAGTGATGGTGTGCTGCACCAGATGGTCTGGCTTCCACAGTCACCTGATCTAAACCCAATTGATATGGTTTGGGATGAATGGACCACAGAGTGAAGGCACAAGTCCCAAAGAGTACTCAGCATCTCTGGGAACTCCTTCAAGACTCCTTCATGTTGGAAAACCACTTCAGGTGACTACGTCGTGAAGCTCATCAAAGGAATGCGAAGAGTGTGCAAAGCAATAAAGCAAAGGGTGGCTATTTTGAAGAATCTAAAATAGAAAACATGTTTTAAATTATTTCACACTTTTTTGTTTACTACATAAGGCCACAGGTGTACTATATTGGAAACTGAATAGAAAATCAGTATCAGTGGCAACAGATCTGTGAAATAAAGAATCTAAATTTGAACATTTTGGTTCAAATCAATGTCAATATATACATCAGAGGTCAGGAAAGACAACGGTGAGTATATTTAACCATCTGTACAACACAGTAGGCTCTGTCATTGTTTTGGGCTGAATCTCAGCCAGTGGTGTTGAATATCTTGTCAAATTGATGGAGCCTTCTTTGGCTTCCCTTATCTTCCCTGCTTATGTCCTTGTCTAGTCTCATGGGTTTTTTTTGTATTTTCCCTGGAACATTCTCTCACAGTCTGTTCTCTAAAACCTAAAAGAGGAATTATGGATTGGATCAACTGGTCCCTAAATGCAATTGACACCCCTTTCTCAACGAGAAGTCTCGGCTCGGGTGAGCCTGAGTGCTGAAGATATCTACCTATTCGGAACCATAGTAACAGGGTTCTGGCTGATCGGAGCTGGCTTGGCCCTGACTTATCGAAGAATTAAGAAAGCCGAACCGGCTGTTCAAACCCCCACAAGGCTGCCCGCTAGGATTGGAACAATGGGAGAGGTTTGAGTTTCTCAAAATGGGCTCATTGAGTCAGCACGGATAAGATCTTGGAGAGGCTACGGCTGCTGTGAATACTCAGAATAAGATCTCTGACTGCAGACTGGATACATCTCGGAAGGCTAGCCCGGAATAACATCTCTGGGCGCAAAATTGGATGACATCTCGGGGAGGCACACTGCCGTGAGTTCTCAGAATCGGCTCCTTGAGCACAAGAAATGACAACATCACAGAACGCAAGTATGGCGAAGCTCGCGGCTCTCCAACGGGAGATTGAGAGACCAGTGTTGGACTGTAGAACTGCTTTGAAATTCATATGAGCTGTTTGCACTAAAGTAAAAAATACCATCACTTCATGCGGATACCCTCTCGGCGCCAGCTGCAAGGCCGGAGCTGAACAAAACACCCTGATAACGACTGTGTTTAGTCTGTTCCTTCCCATTCCATGCAAGGCCACTTGGGTTGGCTGGAAGACTGTTTACTTAGCCTGGCAGGGCGAAGGACACTGTCTCAGCTGAACTATGGACACGCACACACATACATATACTGATAAGCACTCACTGACGCATCACCCTCCCTACCCCGGATCCAACGCCACCTCCAACGCTTACCTCCCCTCTGATGTGGACATCGGGTCAGTTGGAGGCGCAGTCTAAAGATTGCAGCGGTCCCAGATCAGATGTACACACTAGAACTCTTTCCCATGTTGCTTGTCTGTGTTTATTATGCTATGGTGTGTTGATATCTGTGCATTCCTGTATTATCCTTCTGTGTTACACATTTCGATGTTTTTTTCCTCGCTACCTAGCCTGACCTGTCTCCCCAATGGGATGTTTGTGTATTGTATGTACGGTCGGCAAGGTCTGTCATCTCGGTTGTGGGCAAAAGACCTGCAACTGACAAATAAAGGCTATAACACTCTCTCAATTATACTGAAAAGTGCAGTAAAATTGTGATCCATAATGTAATACCCTCATTATTACATCATCATACATTAATACACAAATCACTTGACTGACAACAACTTTGTTTTTTAACATGACAGAAACACGCTGCCAGTGCTGCATAGCTGGATAGAAAAAATACACAATGGAACACAATCAGTCATGAAGCCTGAGCCTTCTGAGCCTGGACTTCAACATTACCAAAGCAGTGTCTCATCTTGAACTTCTAAAGAAGAGCTTTGGAAATCATTTAAGAAGCCTGGACAACTATTCCTAAAGGTAACTTCAAGAAATTATATGAAAGCGTGCCTAATGAAAGCTTGGAAACATAAAATGTTTGGCTAGAATCTGAAGTGTATCACATCTCAGGGAAAAAAAAGCACTGAAATGTGCGCTGCTTTTCGGTCTGGTTACTACCGTTTATGTCAGAACCGGTGCCATGGTAACCACCCCTACTCTCGACATGCAGACTGGAGGAGACAGGGATCGAACCACTAACCTTCCAATCAGTAGGTGATCTGCTCTACCTGGTGAGCTACAGCCACCCGGTGGCAAAGATGAGTAAACTGTCACTAGTTTGGATAAAGTGTGCACTCACAAACCTGTCAAACCTGCATTTCAAACATTGGCTACCATAGCAGTATAGTACTGCAACATGGCATTTGGGTCTTCTAAATAAAATGGGAAAATAGGAACATAAATAGTGCCATCATTGCCAGACCTGGCCCACATCTGGTTGACATACACCCTGCCATGACGCCAGTCAGTCAGAAGTGCCAGCTTGATGCCAGACCCAGGCCAGGTTTTCTATGGGCCTGGGCCACATAAACCAAACCACAATTGAGCCAGATGTGGCATGCCATCACATAGACAGTGCCATCTATGCCAGGCCGGGCCCATATCTGGATGACATACGTCACTTGTCATGCCACAAGTCAGCCAGCTGTGCCGGCTTGATACCAGATCCGGGCCAGACCTGCTTGCTATGTGGGACTGTGTACATTTCGTACTTTTCCTCTCCAAGGCGTGAAATGGATGCGCATGCAGTAAGTTGTAATAAGCTGCAGAACCAGCAGAGGAATTTATTTTATTTCAAGCCAATATCAGAATAAACATGGTAACGTGTTTAAACAGACATTGCTGACACATTTACATGTAAATACATATTAGCCACCTATCTTAGTTTCTAGCGTTGGAGGACCCAGGGATGTAATTCATACCTACCCCTGCTGGTACTGCAACTTCCGCATGAATGTCCATTTTACACTTTTGAGAGGCAAAGCATGAAATGGATATGGTGGACACTTTGCCAATGACATTGGGTTGCATATATCGATCCCTAAAAAGGATCCTAAAATTTCATTTAAAAAGCTTTTTTTTTTTAATAATCAACTGCTTTGAAAATGGCAAAATCTGTGTATTAAATTTGAAAAAGTATTGTAAAAATAATGCTTATTAGAATGAATTTCAACTTTTTTGGTCTTGTTTTTAGGACTGAAGATAAACGATGTCCTATTTTCTATTTTACACTTTATGCCTGAATAACATTTTCTTTTTCAATTAAACTAATTTTTATTCATTTTGGAATCAACCACATAGTGCTCATCTAGTTGCAGTCCTCATCTAGCAGTAAGCACGAAGATAATTCAAATTCATGAAAGAAAATTGCCAAAAGAAAAAAAAAGTTTTTCATTGGGGTCATCACTGGGAAAATTGTGCATATTTGTATGTATTACTGTCATTGCTGCAATATCTAACATCACACACGAAGGCAAGTTCCCCTTAATCCACACACCGTTGGTTAAAATAAATTTAACATGGCATAAAATTGAATAAATTTTCATATTACTCTTTCTCAATACTTCATCAATAAGTTCTCAAATGACCACATACTCTATTTTCTAAGATGGGTAACTGGTGAAAAGCCCACATAAGATGATCACCAAAGTATTCAATTAAATCTACAAAAGGTCTTTTAGTTCATACTTTTTGTTCCACAGCTTTAATATAAGCTATAATATCTTTATATGAATACTACATGTCTATTGACATGTACAACAATTAAGCATTGCCTGCACAAATTATCTGAAATAGCAAGTTCTACTGATAGCCCAACACAGCTTTATCATATTTGATACATTTATTTCTGATTACATCTAAGTAGTGATGTAAAGGATGGCACCACACAGTGTTTTAAGACATACAGTTCTCATTGTCATTCATCTACAACGATGAAAACTGGATCTACTGAAGCAACTGAAATTGCAGCATTACCTATATACTGTGGCTATTTAGAGATAACGGATAAGTGTTGGAAAATGCTATGTGAGCTGTACACTCTGGTAGCTTTTACGAACAGAAACACTGTCTTACTTGCTCAACTTTCCATAGATAAATAAAGACTAAAAAAGCAAAACTTTAATTTGAGCTTCTTTTTTTTCATGAAATCTTGCTCACTGATCACGAATGCGATAAGTATTAATGGAGAATGATTATCACCATTTTCATCTCTTTGGAATTGAGACAGAGGGAATGACAGTTAATTGCAGGGCACTGCATCTGAAAATCTGCAATATCTGCCATAAAAAGGAGTTTTAGTGCATGCTCATATTAGAGACTTGACATTTTGAAAGCGGGTAGTCATGGTTATGTGCTGCTGTTATGTTATATCACCCCACATCTCAGCATCCCTTGTATTGTAAAAGAGGTAGCAGGGTTTAGGCATGGAAATGAGGCTTAAGCTATGATGCAAAATGCCTCATCTCTCCCCTATCCCTGCTCTCTATGCATGGCTGTGGATACAACAGATCTCACCATGCCAGAGCTTCCCTATTCCACTTTTAGTTATCCATCTCCCAACTCAGATTCCCTGCCTTCTTCACACACTTGCTCTTCCTGTCTCTCTCACAGCTTACATTAATTTTGTGGACCTTCATTAAGACAGCAAAAATTTGTAATACAGAAAAAAATGACTATTGTCTGGCTCCAGTACCACAGTGCCACCAAGTGGTTTATAACAACATGACTGTCTTTGAAAGAATCTACTGTAAGCACTTATTCTATATGCTCACACATACCCAGTGTGATGATGGATCTGTAGAGTTAGAGTATGAAGGTTAACAGTTAACGGGTGCTCTGAGTGAAACCAACGCATGTGAAACAGAATCATCTGATGAAAGAGGGTGAAAGACAAAGAGGTAGGGGAGCCTTGGATCGATAGGACAGAGGAATAAAGAAAAATGAAGCCAATAGAAAAAAAAAGGAATGAAAGAAATTCACTCCAATTCTCCATCACTTTGTATATGCTTTTTTTTTCTTCGGTGATTCGTTGTGTGTAGAAACGTAACCATATCTTTGTTCTAGAACACCTGTCCCTGCCACCATGAGGCCAGAAGGCTAGGTTGGAAACTTATGCACAAACCTACAAATACAGACACATGCATGTACTGAAACACTCACAGCCAAATGACTAGCTCTAAAAATTATCCTTTGACACAAGGTAGCACATAACCGTTTTAGTGCTTTTTCATTCTAATATCTATCACTCATCACCTTGAATAATTTGCAGATTTGTTTCCATCTAAAATATACTTTTTCCTATTCAGGAAAGGCTGGCCCTTCTGATGTTAGCCTACAATTCCCTCCAAAACTTCAATCTTTTGTTCTTTTCTGATAAAAAAAAAAAAAAAGGCTTTTAACTTAGATTCGATTTAGATTTAGATTCTAACCTCAAAAATATGCTTACTGGTTTCTCAAGATGGTTTATTGAGTATCAAGAAAAACAAGGTAAGCAATAAAACAGAGGAAGAGAGTAAGAAAACACTACATTTAAATTTGCATGCAGATATTGGATGAAAACAAAAGGACTGACAGTTTCAGGTTTTGATTTAAACGCTTGTTTTTCTAGAAGTGCCTTTTCTCACAAGAAATTTCCAATAACTGTCAACACATATGTGGTGAGCCTTCCTCTTAGTGTTCCCTTAACCCAGCAAAACTGAACTATTGGTATATTTATTATATTTGCTCATTAATTTATTGTTTGCATAGTTAGTACTACACTGTGAGTTAAATATCTCATATAAATTATATGTCAGAGGTATACATTTCTGATAATCTAAATTTTGGAGTTTGGAGATCAGAAAAATAAAGGTGCCAACTGGAACCAAAAGTGGTTCTTTAGACTGATGCCATAGAAGAACCTTTTTTGGTGCCACAAAGAACCCTTCAAACAATGGTTCTTTGAAGAACCATTTCTTTCAGTGGTTCATTGAAGAACCTTTAAATGTGCCCCAAAGAACCATGAAGAAATGGTTCTTTGGGGCACCTTTATAGGTTTTTCAAAGAACCATTTTTAAAAAGGTCCTTCAAATGGTTCTTTTAAAAAACACTTTTAAAGAACCTTTTTTGAAATGGTTCTGCAAAGAGTACAGCATAGACATATATTAATGGTTTATTGCCATTTCGTAGTATACCAAAAGACAAAAGGGCATTTTAACCTTCAGCACAACATCACTACTAATACATGTCACATATTAGTCATTTAAACAGTAATAATTATTTTTTTTACTATACTATAAATAAATATAAATAAATACTATATCTATAGATAACACAACATGTATTGTTTAATTAAAAAAACATCAGAAAGTGATAACAACACATTAGAATGGCCTGTATTTGTATAGCGCTTTACTAGTCCCTAAGGACCCCAAAGCTGACAGAGGCGAGGCTGCCGGACACTGGCGCCACCGGGCCCTCTGACCACCACCAGTAGGCAGTGGGTGAAGTGTCTTGCCCAGGGACACAACGGCCGAGACTCGAACCGGCAACCTTCCGATTACAAGACGAACGCCCAACTCTTGAGTCATGATTGCCCCACAGCCTCACTTTGTACAAGCCTGCTATTAAAGTTCTCCTCTATGCAGACAACGTTCCTGTTTTCAAGGCACAACTTGGATCTGCTGTACAAATCTTATGGATCCACGCTAAAGATTCTGATCCCTCATCCTAATATGGTCCCAAAAGGCTAACAAAAAACAACATAGCAATAGCAATACAACAAATGTTGAGGCTTCAAAATACAAAGTCCATAAACCAATGGCTGACATGGGTTTTATCATAAGGGTGATAAGACTAAAAGTATAATACAGATTTTAGTCTGAGAGATTTGATGTTCATTTACCTGCAGATGCACTATATGCACCTGCTCTGTGGTTTTCCACATTTACGTTGAAATACAGGAAGTAGGTTAACTAAAACAAGTCATCTTTCTTGGTGAGAGGACCATATTAATGAAACAAACCTCAATGACATCATAGATATCACTAAAGATGCTCCTGCTGCTTCTCTGCCTCCTCATCCTAAGCTTCCTTCTCCTTGTCCTCAACTTCCATCCATTTGTAATTCAATCTAATTGTTTTTCCTCCCCCTCCTCTTCCTCATTTTGTTGGAGCTGTGAAAAGAATTAGTGCGAATCTGAATTAATTTGTCCATACAAGAAAAATCTACAGCTTTTCGGTCAGAGGTGGTCTTGTGATTTAAGCCGGGTAGAGTAGATTTATGTGTTGATGCTGCCTGCTTCAGCTCTACGACTGGCTGCTGAGTGATATTTACACCCTGGCTGGATTACAAACTTTAACCACGTGCTGAACTTTGGCCCAGTGTTGATACCTCTTGTTAGTATAATGACCTCTTCTTGGCTTAATGTATGATGGTGGATAAATTAAATGTACAAAGAAAATGTAACTATATTACAAAAGGACATGCATCTTGGTAACATCAAATGACTGGAGCATAACTTGTTAACTAGTCCGAAAAGAAGTTATACAGGAACAGTCAAAGACACACCTTCTCATGTGTCACATTTCTATTCATTCAAAACACCTATGCATAGCTGTATTTTATACAGCTCTTACAGAATTCAAAGTACAGGGTGATGTGAGTATTTAACGTAGGGCTCCGCTCTACTGAATTTCTGAGTTACTAGAGCAGACACACAATTCACATCACAACAAGCTTCAGGCGCCATTTTAATGACTTTAAAGATATTATAAATTTTAATTTCGGTCTAGCTGACATTACGTTATGTACACAGCAGGCAATTGAACCACATATTTTAGAGGCCAAAGGTTCAAATTAGATGGCAGCACCTTCACTTAATTATAACAGTGGTTTTGTTAGGAAAACAGTTATGTATACTAAATTGCGTTAACGTCAACGGCTAACGTATCTAACATTGCTAACTGTTATTGGTAGCACAACATTAACAGCAAGCTACAATGACGGGTAACAAAAACAAAACATTAAAAAGGTTTTAATGAAAATGTTTTACCTTTTCCAACAGTCCCAGAATCCAGAGCGTCAAAGACCAGTGGGTACTCAAGACTGTTATCCGCTTCGCTGTCACCGGCCGTGAGAAATAGTTTTTTTCCCTTAGGAGGGAGACTCTCTCTTCAAGCGCTAGCTCGACAGCTGCCATCTAGCAAAGATACCGGTCTGGCACAACTTCCTCCCACATCCCTCCCACATTTCCGGTTCACGTGTCTATCGCGGTCGGCGTGAACACACCGTTAGAAAGTTCAAGGCCCGCCGATCGCGCAATCTGTCTGCGCATGCGCATCCCAACGACTGCCCCCCCCCTCTCTTTCGAGAGGTTGCCATAATTTGACGTGTTCTAACATCTCTCTCTCTCTCTCTCTCTCTTTCTCTCATTTATTTAGCTTGAAACACATATTAACAAATTGCTCAGTGATAAACAACTACTGAGATCCTTTACCTAAGGAGTGTGCTTTGTAAAAACTAAGTAAGTGTGTTGGTGTGCTCATTACATTGACATTCTGTTGTGCAATTGTTATTTACTTGTATTTTATAATTTGACTTTACGTACTGCTGGATGGTTTGCAAAGTTACAATAACTAGTATTATCATTATGCTATATTTTCAGCATAATAATTTTCTGTATAATAATCTCAAAAGTAATGCCTTGAAGCAGAAAATAGTAATACTTTACTAAAATTTAAAACTAAAGTACAATATTTGAATGTGTGTATTGTGTCTACTGTTTGTTAACTCACCATAATCATAAACATCTTAATAATAAATTCCATATTCTATTACCACATTATTTGTGATCAGTGGGTTTGCAGGGTTAGGGGTGTTGGGGGTAGGGTCTTTAGGCTTTGGCCACCACTCCTGCCACCAGTATATTTTTAAGCAAGTATTTCTAACTTTTATTTGAATATTCAGTTTCCTACCATCTGCTCTTAACGGTTAATTGCCAGGTAACCCGCCCTCCCCCTTCGCACACAGATGCACACAAACAAAACGCACAGTATAATTCACACCCTCATTATAGTGAATAAATATTTATGCCATTTTACACCATCAAACTTAGATAGCTAAGGATGAAGAACCTTTTGTTTTTAAAGAACCATTTGTAATAGCTAAAGAACCATGTACAAAATAAAAAGGTTCTTTGACATATGATGGTTCTTTAAAGAACCATGAAGACATCTGAAGAACCATTTAAGAACCATAATTTTTCTGAGAGTACTCAGCTGTTATGTTTTCCTTTCAACTTTAGCAACTCTCATCAACTGTTATTTATGTTCCAGTTAGTTTCCAGCATGTGCTTCAGGTCTCACTGGTTCTCATTGTCGACAAGGTAAACAGCTTCAAGCCATGTCTGTCAAGATGAGCACACAAACAAAACAATATGAATGTGAGTTTGTCGAAGGTATATATTTGTTGCCAGTGACATATTCACAAATATGTCACACCTCTAAATATCCTATAACCCTGCTCATAAAAAGCAAAAATCCTATCCAATTTAAATTTGGCTAGTCTACCCTTTAAGGTAGTCACCTTGGGCAGCACTGTCACACTTCCAGCATGGCTTCTATTTTTAGAAGTCCATTTCTGACCACTGACCACTGTCACAACTCCTGCAGTTACACTGTGCTGTAACCAAGCACAGGCCGACAACGGCATGATGGAACACAACATATTTACATACATACATACATACAAATGCATGAAGCTTGGGGTACAGTGAGCAATTGATGTTTTCTCATTGCACAAGTTTAAGATCTGATGAAGCATCCAAATTTAAGTCACATAATCACAGTGAAATCAATGTTTCTGGTTTTTCAGGGATGCAAAATGAGTTTTGTGCAAAATGCATACTCTAATACTGCAACTTGGCAAAATTATGAAGGTACTGTGTACCTTGATTCACTTATCAAGGTTTATATCGTCTATTCTGTAAAATAGTCAGATTCACTTTATGTACAAAATTCACCTGCTTGCTGCATACATGCTACTACTGCACATTCACCTAATGTATATATTATATATCTAATGTTCTTTCTCTACCCCCCCCCATTTTTGCACAAGTCGAGGAGCGTGTCAGGTTACATTTCACTGCGTGTTATACTTGTATACTTGACAAATAAAGAAGGGGCATTTATCATCAAAGAAGTTTTCCTGCTTTATTTAAGACATAAAGGCTGACTTTGTTTCAGAAATCTTGTTCATGACTCATTAATACTTGCTAATTTTAATATTGCAAAAATGGGCAGAAGTGCCTCGCTCTATGAGAGTAAAAACAATCAAGACATTGAAGGGGTTTTTTTTGCTAATTAGTAAGTGAGAAGTAACAGAAAAAACTAACCAAAAAAAGTCGATCAGTATTCACTTCAAACTTCAGCCTCATCAACCCAAATTTTTTTAAAGAAAAATAGTAACTTATTTCCAACTTTGCCTTACCTGTGTGTGTGTGTGTGTTTTTACTCTTTCACTTTCTGTTTATTATCAATTCGTTCCCTCACAAAAATCCCACTGCTGGTTAATTGGGCATACAGTACCACCGAGCATGATTTTTCTAAAATTAAAAAGAGAGAACACTTTCACTGATGAGGAGAAAGAATCACACAACTTGATGCAGCAGCCTGAATGGCAGCATTAAGATTTCCATGCTGACACACACGTTCATTCTCGCTAACTCTTCTTCAGGCTTCTCTCTGAGATCTTTTCTCTTCCTCTTTTTTCCTCCCTTCCCCGTCTGTTTGTTGTGCTCCACCTCCCTCGGTTCTTTGAGTGCATTAATCAGTCAAGCCACAGCATCACAGCTATTACTCATCTGGTCAGAATAAGAGAGGGAGAGCGAGGAGGGGAGAGAGTCCATAACAGAGAGAGAAACAATGACAGAGCGAGACAGAGACCCAGAGAAAAGAGAGCGAGAGCTGGGGGAAAGAAAGAAAATGGAGAAGTGCAGAGAGTGAACTGCTCGGTATTCATTCATCTTTTAAAATCTCTCCTCACCTCAAGGCTTTTCATCTCTCCACCCATCCATCCATTCATCCATCCATCCCCTCATTCAGCCAGCAACGAGCCAGGTATCCATTCATTCACCTATTTATAGATGCCACTAACTTCACTGCCCCCCCCTACAACCACCCACCCACCTAATCATGCAGCCATCTTTCTATCCATCTTTCCATTTCCCCTTTCACCCCACTCCCCATCTTCTATTCATCTCTCCATCTCTTCAACTACACCTGTCTCTATCTTTATTTCTTTCCTCATCTATCCATTTCATGTTTTGAGCCCCTTTAAGAAAACAACTCAGGCCCAGAAAGAAAATCTGTTTTGCTGTGCAGCAACAGGTTATAGAAAAGGTAAGAAGGGAAATTTAATTTTCCAACTCAAGGACAAAGAAATAATCACACTTCTCTCACTTTTTCTTCCAAGAGGAGTAAGAGTCTCAAAAATATTTCATGATGTGTTTAAGGCTGAATAATTTTGAGCTATGTGCTAACTTTAGCAGGTGAACAAGCTCACAGTGATGCATATATGCACTCATACAGAGTGATATTAAGGATACTTGTTTAAATTTTTTGCTAGCCAACTCTAATCTACTGAAGAAAACTGACAAAATAGTGCAGTTTTGCATTTTGTGTCATGTTATAAACTAAATGATACAACAGGCAGAAATTCTCACCTGATGACTACACCGTAAAAAATAATTTAGTTGCCATCAAAGTAATAACTATTACGTGTATGTATAAAATGTTCCATATTGTACCACTTTAAGACATATTAGTGTTAATCTCACGTGTGCACAGACTGTAGATTCCAAGCTTCAGCCTGAAAAACCACAGAGATAATTTTTTTTTATGTCATGCCTGTATGCTCCTGGTTTTAAGCTCCATTTCTAATGGTGTGTTGTTATTTGGAACTTTAAATAAAACTGGTACAGTTGCTACCCACTGTCTTTGATGAAGAGATCTGTGAATGACAGAGAGAAGCAGCCAACTTTGCATGTACATATATCATTATGAATGATAACTTTACTTGTTAATACAGCTAAATTCTCAGAATTGTTGTTTTTAACATATCTGATGTAGAATTTGTCAGATTGCTTTCATTAGTAGTACTTGTAGTTTAATGCCCCGTTAATGTCAATATTTCAGAGTCATTTGGTTGAGTGATTGTCGGGCCCCCTGTCCCTTTAGGTGCTGTTGGAATGCTACTCTGCAAGTAACCCCAGTGGAAAGCGTTACATGAATAGTATGTGGGACCTATGAAATCTTCAATACACAGCTATCCAGATTGACAGCAAAAGTAGTATCTCAGTGTTCCAACATCTGGAAGAAGGAACTGCTCTCACGGCTAGAGATTGAAGAGGTACAACACAAATTCTATGGCAGGGAGCCAAGATGACAGGGGGGGATATCATTATCACCCCCGCCGGAGATAGTGTACCAAGCCCCAAGTATGATGGAAGGAGGAGTTGAGTGCGAGAGAAACTGGCCTGAAAGACAGGATTGTGGTGAAGTTTGAAACCTGGACCCTCCGTAGCCACTTACCAAGGTTACGTGAAGTGCCCTCTATCTGCTATATGATGTGAATGCAGCACTAGGGACACTTACTACTGCAACCATCATGGAGACTTATCGGGCTGATCTACACCATGGCAGCAGTGATCAGTGAGATGCTTGGCTATAAAGTGAACAGCCACGAGCAGAACCCTCGATGGAGAAGGACATTGGACAAAATCAGAAGCAAAGTTAGCCTGAGTTTCAGAAAGGTGCAATGAAGAAAGTGCCTAAGAAGTATAGCTAGCTGTTCATACCTGGGGCATTTAGAAAATACCAAGCAAAGACTCACAGCCTTTGCCAGCCGCTTGAAGAGCTGTACCAGAGAAATAGAAGGCAGGCGGATAACCCAGCTGTTCTCCACATAACTATACAGAAAAGCCCCACCAAGGCTAAAGACTGACCGACACTGGAAGAGCCTATGACAGAAGGTTGCGACCCATAATGACAATGCTCAATGGCTAGTGGATCCAAGAGCAGACCACAGCAACCTCTCTAAACAGGGTCCAGTAACCATCAGAGTGGCAGATATCCAAGAAAGGGTCTCCGGTATGAAGAGTTGGACAGCACCAGGCCGTGACGTGATTCACACCTACTGGCTGAAGAAGCTGACTGCACTCCATGAATGTCTGGCAGCAAGAATGAACCAGCTGCTAA